CCAAATACATTATATTCACAGACCAGATTCACTTGTAACCCTTTCAAACCGGATTCCATTCAAACAAAGTTTCAATATTCTGCTGATGTTATTTTAACAGCCGTCACAGAGGGAGAACCAAGATGAGGCAGGGAGATGCAGGTTAGGGTTATTGTGAAGGGTAAACTGATACAGGGTTCATTTAGAGGAAGGGAACAAATTTAAGGAAATGGGGGGACAGGGTTTGGTGCCACAGCAACCGAGTCAAGTCTGATATGGGTGAAATGGTGATCAACGTTGAACCATCGAGTCCCTCAATGAGAGAAGACTTAAGCTCCACTGAAGCCCATATAGACAGGTACGTCTCCAACTCTCTCTCCTCAATAAGAGAGAGCCGTGCTAAAGGCATAATCTGAAGCCATTGGGATAAAATGGCATCTCTCTGGTCCCTTTAGCGTTTAGTTTTTACTCTGAAAACCTCCACCAATAAAGAGGTACACAGTAATCGAGAGCTGGGTCCATAGCTGCCTGTAATTTAATGAGGCGGCAGAAAGACCAAGAAACAGCTTGGTTATGCAGAGCAAATGTTGTAGGGGGTGTACCCCAGCAGGAACTCTCCAACTCCAACAAAGTACACAACCTGGGCGATGCCGAAGAGCGGAGCGATTACCAGGGCCCGGCAGCTGGCGCCCTTCAGGAATGCTCCGGGACCCTCCTTTGTCAGGATCTTTCTGCAATGGAGGAGAGAGCGCCAGGTTAGCGTGAAACTGCCGACCCCGGTGAGGGGATGGTGCATTGTTGTCATATTTCCAACAGTTAAGATATTATTACCTGACACAGTCCACCACTCCGTTGTAGGTTTCCTCATTAGCTCCATTTTTGAGGGATTGTAGCCTTGTCTTAACCACTGCACAAGACATAAACAAAAATTATTTTAGTATGAAATCGGAAAGATTTAGCTGATTCCTATTCCCCGATCCACCAGTTATCTGGATAGACTGCGTCTCTCACCGTCACAAGGGCTGACGGCCACTGCTGCAACGCATCCAGCCGAACAGCCTGACATGAAGGACCAATAGAAGGGCACGGACGGGTCTTCTTGTGAATGCTGGCCGAGCTGGTGCAGATGTGCGAAAAGAGGGAAGTACACAACGGAGAACGGGATGTCCCTGGAAACAAAGAAGCATGTTCCCTACATTGAGAGACCACTAATCGACGATGGAAAACCATTTGAGCAAGATCAAGTGTTGAATGCGATTTTCACCTCATCAGCGTGGCCCCGAGTCCCTTGTACAGTCCTGTGACACCTTTGGTCCTCAGCAGCTCTCTGGTGATCTGTGTGGCGGACATGCGCATGACTTGGGGTGCAGGCCTGGTGTTGTAAGAACGGGTAAGAACCGCACTGGTCCCCCCCATCTTCAGAGCTGTGACCACACTAGGAACCACCCTCTGCTGGGCCGCTGGCAGGAAGACACAGGAAACCATAGGGTTGACACCAAAACTGTCACTAGTTGATGCTCGTCATCTATTCGGCTGCTTTTCTCATAGTTACCTAGCCTGCCAGCATCCTGCAGCTGGATCTTGAGCATCTCCATTGGTGTGGTGATAGTGACCTGGCACATTCCTGCACAGCATCCTGCCAGCATCTCTTTGAGCACTGTCAACTTGCCACTGACAACACAGACTCAAAGGTTAATGACAAAAGTAAAAAAAAAAAACGAGAATGACAATCCGAGAGACTTCATTGTGGTGCTGCTACTCACCCATCTTTGCTCAACTGGTGGCGGAAGAAATCATTAGCAGCAAGCTTGATGGCCTTTTCTGGGGTCACCAGGGTGAGATTTACAGCAGCACCTACAAAAACAAGCAGTGATCAGAACGAAGTTAATTCTAATTACACACAAATGCAGCCATGCTCACTGAACCATTAACTATTTCAGCTGAGTCAGTGATGTCTTTTAAGTCCTGTCTGGATACGTGCTTTTTTTAGAAAGCCTTTCATGACTTTTCATTTCCCTATTTCTGTTTTCACATACTTAATTGTTTTTTATGGATCGTATTGTTCTTCTTCCTTTTTAATTTTTAAAAACAGATGATTTTATATCGCTGAAGATTTCGTGAAAAGTCTGTTTTATTTTGCTACAATTGTAAAGCA